TTAATATATATATATATATATATATATATATATAAATTTATATTAATAAATTTAATTGTACATAATAATTACATTTGCAAGCAAATCTTAGATGTAATTGTAAATTTTTCTTTCTTCCTTTTTATTGAAATCATATAAATGTAATGTAGACATATTAGATATTTTCAGTCAATTGTAACAAATTGCAATTTGATATTTAAGAAGATATAAAAACTGTTTCGAAATTATATAAACTAACTATATTGCTCAGTGTAAATATGGCAAAAATCAACAAACTAGTACTAATATTAAGAGTTCTCAACATTATAGTATTCATATATCTTTATTCGACATTTTTATTAAAAAAATAGATTAAACTTATTTTATTCCAAGGAAGATATTTTATAATTGACATAACTTTATTAATGGTGATGAGACTATTTTTGGGATATAAATTACCTCTATAATTTTTATAAATAAAATTATGTATTTTTTAATACAGATTTATTCTGCATTAAATAATGCACAATAAATCAAATTATAAAATGTTATTTGAAATATTTTATTCTAATAAACAATATGAAATATTCACACGTTCATATCATTTTTCGAGGAAATTTCTTGGAGTACGATCAAGAGCAGTTCGAAATCATCAAAAAATTTATTTTATATTGTTAAATATCTAATAAGAAAAACTTAGAAAAAAATTAACAGTATTTAATGAATTTTAAACAATCCATTTTTTTAATAGTTTTGATTTTATCCAAAAATTGAAAAAATTATTTCTATATCTAACATTCAATTATTTCTATATCTACATTCTGCATTATATTTTTAGAATACATATGTATATATAAAAAAATATAAAAAACGTTAATAAATTATAACAAAATTTACATTTATTTAAATGAAAATCATATAAACAATCTTTGTAATTTTTTTATTTAATTTTCTTCATTAATATTTATTAACTTGTTATTCTCTTCTTGCTCGCTATCATCTTCACTTTCATCCTCATCTGAACTTTCCGAAGAATCGAACCAGGTTTGCGATGATAAATCGTTCGCTATCAGAATCTTCCATTCATCTAGCTTTCGGCAATCTGCATTATACACACACACATACACACATATATATATTTTTTTTAACCTTTGCGAGAAAATATATGGTATTAAAAAATTGTTTAAGGTTATTTTCAAGGCTCCTGAGTACTCAGCGAGGAACTTCGCGTTGATGGTAGCGACGTATCGTCACGGAGAAGTTCATTCATCCTTGTTCATCTTATCCTTGTTCTTATTCATCTTTATATAAGCAACATGCGGCTAACAAAATTTTTTATTATAGCTGTTTTCGTTATTATGTGCTTAATCGTGCAGATGTGATTTGTTTCGTACTTACCAGATTTGTAAAAATGGGCGGCAGCTAAAATTATTTTTGGACATTACATGTGAGAGCATTTTTTCTTTTAACAGCTGTCAAATCGTATGTTTTCTGCCCGAACAGGCTTCATTTCACATGCTTTTTACAGCTATTTATTGACTATCAAGAGGAAAAAAAATAAGCAACCGCCCCATTTTCACAAGTGTCTTAAAGCT